GTTCCGTCTTTCCGCACGCAAACTCTTCCAACGATCCTTCCATGGAATTCCCAAAATCAGTACTTTTCCAACACTTTTCGCGTGGAGTCCAGGCCTAAGGGTCTCATCCGACCTTTACTTCCGCTAAGGAAAGGGCCTTGCTCCCCGTGCGGGACCTGAAACGAAAACAGGACCCCACCTAACCGCTACTGTTGGAGGTTTTTCCGAAAGTACCGGCAAAATCCTGTGGGCGCCACGCATCAGACCACAGAAATTCCACACAGAGCAGCCTGACAAAACAACAACAACAAAAAAAAACTAAATTCAGAAAATCCCTCCTCCTTTTTGGGGGAAGGATAGGAGTTGAATTTACTTGAGATTTCCCGCAGAACTCCGGGGCGCAGGCCGCTCCCAAATAGCCACGTTAGCATCCGTTTCCACATGACTCCAAAACAATCGGGGCGCCCTGGAAGCCCGAAGCATTGTGGGATCCCCCGAAAATCACCGTTTTACTTGGTGGGAGTGCTGTGGGATCAGACCCTAACCCATCATCCACTACTACGGGCGTCGTTAGACACTCCTATTGAAATCCTCGGCCAATAGGCAAAATTCCTAATGGTTCAAAGGGAAATTTGGGCCCTTCGTTCCACCTGTACCCGAGGACGTCGCCTGAGGACATTTCCTAAGAGCGATGCCAAAAAAGGAAAAAAAAAACAGTTGTGCTTCAGGCCTTCAGCCAATAGGGTGCTGCCACGATCCAGATTCTCGGCTGTAATGTCTCTCTACGAGTGTGCCCTCTCCTCTCCGTGAAACGCGGATTCCTTGTGCCCAAGGGACCTCGCGAGGTCCCTTGGGCAATAGGAAGAAATGGCTGGGGAAATTCCTATTGCCCGCGAAATTTAATTACGAGTGTTTTCACTTTTTTTTTCCGATTGCGTCCTCGAGGATAGGTGGAACGAGCAATTCCTTGGGGACTTCGCGTCCCCGAGGAGTGTCTAACGACGCCCTATTACTTGAAGCACCAGTACACCACACATCGGCCCGCGGGTGTCAGCACGAAACCCGCCCCACTATGGAGGCCGCCAATTTGTTTTTCCCAAAGGCGCCCCACGCTGCACGGCCCCTCCGAGTTTCGCTTGTGGCAACAAAAACTTTCTGCAAGGCTGGGGCCATGTACTTGGCGTTTAAACCACCAGGATGTTTCCCAGCCATTTTTTTTAACATGTGGTGTGCATGCTGCCGCATCGGGTGGGATGTTCCACGGTGCCGTTTCATTGCACATCCACCCACGCAAAGCTGGTTGCCGGGGAGGCCTGTTTTGCCTGGGTGGATGTCCAGCAAAACAGTGCCCCAGTCTCTGGGAAAATGGCTGGGAAACGTACGAAGGAAAACTGAACTTCATTAATTTAGCGAAATCATTTCTTCCACAGCTTGTGCCACCAACTTATCTAGACATATGACAGTCGCCTTCAGCAGTCAGGTCGATTACTTCCTGAGGTGATGTTTTTCAGATCACATGTACATGGCATGCAAACATACACACGGACAGAGTTCAAGACTCCGAATCGCAAGTCCAAAAAACTCTGAACAGTATATTGCTACATTTAAGCTCATAACCCGGCGGGTATGGCACGCCGACCGGTTTCAACCACCGCCATGCGGTCTCGTCAGGGGAACAACCTTCGTCAACCCTCATACTAGTCCAACTAATCCACAAACCCACCTCTGTCGTTTGTCCTGCGACATCTCCAGAAATGTCCGCAGGTCCGTCGGCATCGGACCCAAAAAGAGTTTTGTCATGGCAATAATCCTATATATAGACCAAGAAGCAAAACTAGCAGCCGGTAGTACTGCGGAACAACACCAACCAAAACAATTATCTCGAAAACAAAAAGGCAAGAAAATAAAACAACAAAAAACAGAACAACAAAGGGAGGGGTCCTAGTTGTTTTTGCCCGCAACAGCACCCCCATCCACCTACTGTAACCTCCCACCAAGGCCACATTGTCAGGCCGACAGACAAAGGTACAGAAGAGGTAGGTCCAAAAATGGTGCCAGCCCAGAACCAGTAAATCCATACGTCAGCTACAGGCCCTGTCCGAGTAGTCGGGAAAGTCAAGACCAGATTGCTATCTAACCTTGTCCCATCGTCCCGACGGATCCCTTGCCCAGTCCCTACAGGCTAAATGTTCACAAAACAGTCAAAGCGCACACACACACACCTCGAAGAGGTTGCAAGCAAGCTGCATCGACTCAATATGTAACTAATTATGCATTCAATTCACTGTCGCCGACCAGATCCGATCCCTTCCGACAGCGAAACAGCGAATCACCCGCTCGACAAACAAAGGCGGGAAGTCCATACGCGACTCCCTCATCAGATCCAACACCCACATAGGTATCAGCCATCTCCGATTCGTATTTCGGTCAATGCGATGCAGTTGGCCCGTCAACACTGCGCTCTGCGCTCTTCTGGAGCTTACTGCCCCAAGAACAGTATGATTGTCCGTTCTTAAATTCCAATATGTCACTTTCCTAGATTGATTGTACATTCAAGTCACCTGGGAACAGCCAACATAAGGTGGAATGGCATCGACCACCATCCACGTTCCCAGGAAGTCCCATTCACCCAGTCCATCATCAGTCCTCTTCAGCTGTAGATTACTAGGATAGCACTCCTCGAAAACTTCCCTGATCTCGTCTACTGTCATCGAACTCCTATGCTGCTGGTGTTGGAAACCCAAGACTGGACCTGATAAGAAATTCTTGCTGGCGATCCTGCGTAAACCTTACTGTGTGGGGCTGTTGAAGAAGTGTTCGCTGGAAGCATTGATACGGATGAATGGGGTGGCTGCAGATTTTCAGAAGGCGAGTACAACCTCGTTCTTACGAAGGCTAATTTCGCGTGCTGTGAAGGACGTCTACGGATGGAGTCTCAATGCAAGAATGATTGTTAGAATAAAATTCAATGACCGAATTAAGTTGGTGGAAGTACGTAAGTTGTTGAACGACAGGATCGAGGAGCTGGAGATTCCTATCTGCATGAAGAACCTGGCACGTAACAACATTCGGATCGTGAGGGTTAAGAACCCCTCGATAGCCCGTTTGTTGCACAATCAGCGCTCCTTTGCGAAAGCGGAAGTGCTTACCTGTGCTTGCACAGGTCTTCCCTACCCTCGGGTAGGAGATCACGTGCGGTAGACTGCATGAGTTGGAGGACGTGGATCCTCTAATCTTCAACGCGGATAATGTACCGAGACATAATCATCCCAATCATGGGGTATTGCTGGGACAGAAGATGATTGAGGGAATTCGATCATGGGCTAATTTTCGTGGACAGGCACCAGCGATCAGTGGAGGCGACGTAGCACATTGCATGACTGCGGTGACAAATGAAAATACGCGTTTTATTGACGTTGACAGAGTGATGGAGATTAAGGCACGTTTGAATGCTTGGTGTTGACCCCTCTGGATAGAAATCCAAGGGAGACGCTCGTGCTATGTCCTAAGGTCTATTTCGATGCCATGATGGACCTTTTTGTCAGCAGTCTTAACTATGTGGTGATGAGTAAGGTGGAGGATGATGTGAGGATCAGTATGAGGGAGGAAGCGAAGATAAGGGGACTATCGTCGTTTGTAAGATGGGATAAGAAAGAGAAATTCGGGGAAGCTCACGTGATTCCAAAACACAAGGATTTGACAAGGTTACGGCTGATCCGCCCCACATATGTGGAACCTACTGTGAGGACTTGTAAAGTAGTAGTCAAGGCGCTTAATCACTTATTGAACACCCTTCCTATGTGGTGGCATTTTAACCTGCAGTCGGTATCTGAGGTGGTTCCTAGACAGGAGTCGATAAACAGGAAGATTGGGCAGAAGATCGAGAGTAACTTGCCACCGTTCGTGATGTCATACGACATCAACGACGTGTTTAGCAAATTACCGCACATCGATATCGTCGAGGCCGTGAACTGTATGGTGGATTACCATCTCAGTAAGGGCCGAGAGAATGTGCGTGTTAATACGAGGGGTAAGGGCTGTTCTTTCGGACGGATGACTTGTGATGATCACTGGCGTTTGATCAGCTTACTAATGATTAAGACGCTCGTACATTTTGAATTGAGGCATACATACACACGTGCTACAGGAGTGTTGTTGAAGCAGGTGGTGGGCATTCCGACGGGAAAAAGCACAAGCCCACCACTAGCGTGTATTATGTGTGCATTTGCTGAATTCCGATTTCTGCAAGGATTGGGCAAAGTGGGTTGGGATGTTTTCGGTCTGCGATTGATGGATGACGTTAATTTGCAGCATGTACCCCCAAGTCGCACTACCGAATCACCAAACGAGTCACGCACTGACTTCCATCCTGCACACCAAACGTTACCTCCTTCAGTATGCAAAGTAAAACTCTAGATCCTGACTCCCTCCATATTCGTAAGCAAGCGATAAATCTCCATACTATATTCACCGCCTTCACCATCTTTGCACGTACTGGTGTAAAGGCTATTGGCTCACGTCGAGGTCCAGCTTCCTGTTGTCTGCTACGCTCCTTACACCCTTTCCTTCTATTGTTCTTCCCACACTTCTTCCTACTTTTTCCCGTCGTGTTTAGTATTGGGGACCATCAGCGAATGTAGACTTGCTCCAACGATTACAGTTCCGCCGTCCTGCAACAATCCACCATTATGAAGACATAGGATTCGATACTGAACACACGCCACCATCGATATGTGATTATTTCTTAAACCGCGCTTGTAGACGGAAACATGCTAAGACGAACAGATGTGAGCACCCCGATTAGTCTGCCCTACATATTGTGCTTTACAAAACGGCGCTGTGAGAACGTACACACAGCTTCGTTTGTCGGGAAATGTCTGAATCCCTTCCTTGGTGTAGAGAGCTACCCACAATTCCATGCACTTCCATAACCATCTAATCTCCCCTTCTAGGCCTAAGATGATGACAACTAAACGGCATAGTTTCCCCCTCGACACATTCGAAGCATTTCCCTTGCAAAACTCGATCAAGCGTTTACATAGAAACCATAGCTCCATGATATTACATGCATCCCTTTTTTCGTCGCTCTCCCCTTCCTACTGTGCTACATCTCCTTCACTCTCGCCAGGTTCGTCCGCAGGTTCCTCCTCGCCATATGCCACCTGGGTACACTTGTCTGTTAATGCCAAGATAATTTGCATCTTTCTGCTCTCAGCTCCCAGCCGCACGTCCTCTTGAGCACACAAGTGTTTCAACTCTTCGACGTTCAATTTTCCCAGTACACGAAGAGTATCGGTAACAAACTTCAGTTTACCACACGATCCCGGAGGTGTCGGGATCTTCTTCTTGCTCGTGGTGCACCGACGCGGTATCGACCCCGTCGGTGAGCGCTTCATCAGAGGACGCCTAACACTCTCTGAAGACGTTGATATCGAAGAGATCTTGTAGTGTAGACGCCTCTTAGCCATCCTCTTCGCCAACGTTTCCATCGGCGGGCTATCTCCAATAGGTTGATCCGCCACACACTTCCTCTTCTCGAAAATGACAAGTTGCTCGGTACGATTGCTTAGGGCTTCTACTTCACTCTCATACGAGTCGTCAGTTCCATCGTCCGACGACATCAACTCCACCTTTTTTTTTGCTTTAGCAGCTCGTTTATCTTCAGCCTCCTGGTGATCGCCGCGCTCGGGCAAGTAGACAAGTTTCTCTCCTAATCCCCCAATATGCCTAGATATCTCCATGCGCATTTCCTTCTTCATCTGCTCCCGGTCTTCGACAACTTGTCGTAATTTCTTCTCCTCGCGCTTCTTCCGTCGTTCGGCCTCCACACGTGCTTGCTCCTCTGCACACCTCATTTCTTCTTCTCGCCATTTCAGCTCCAACTTCTCCTGTTTACGCTTGACCTTCTCCTCCTTCTTGTTCTCAACATCCATGTGCTCCTTCATCTTCGCGATCGAGGTCGCTAGTTCATCAATTTGTCGTCGTAGTAACGGGTCTTCCGAAGTAGCTCTAATCTCGTGAGCTCTCCCGTGTCGCTCAGGCGAGTGCGATCTTCCGTGTGGCATCGTGCTTCTTGAGCTTCCCTCTCCAACCAGTTTTGGGCACTGCTTACGATAGTGCCCAGGCTCCCACACTCATAGCACACGGGTGTGAAGCGCCTCGGGGGCAGATCACACCCCCTATCTTGATAGTTGGTACTTCCATAATCCGTAGTATGTTCACGGCTATGGTCTCGACCACTTTCCCACCGGCCATCATCACCACCCTCGCGGCTACGATCGCTGTACCGCTCACGATATTCTTCCCGACCAAAGTCAAGTCGGCCCGAGCTCCCCATTACCTCAGAGCGGTAACGTGAAAGAGGAAAAGTAAGGAAGGAAAGTCATCTAACCCTCCAACAGCCATGTGTCACACCTTACACGTGCTACGAGGAAAATCCTAGCGTAACAGCTACTTCGTATACTGGATCTCCATCACAAAAATTCAAAGTCATAGAACTAACAACAAATCATGCTCACACACACCCAACCATCATTTCTGAGTACGTTCACATATGCCTTCAATAGGTTTATTACTTCCTGAGGTGATGTTTTTCAGATCACATATACAAGGCATGCAAACATACACATGCACATAGTTCCAAGACTCTCTGAATCGCAAGTCCAAAAAAATCTGAATAGTATATTGCTATGTACAAACTCATAACCCGACGGGTATGGCACCCCAACCGGTTTAACCGCCGCCACGCGATCTCATCAAGGGGAACAACCTTCGTCAACCCTCATACTAGTCCAACTAATCCACAAACCCACCTCCGCCGTTTGTCATGCGACATCTCCGGAAATGTCCGCAGGTCCGTAGGCGTCGGACCCGGAAAGAGTTTTGTCATGGCAATAATCCTATATATAGAGCAAGACAAAACTAACAGCCGATAGCACTGCGGAACAACACCAAACAAAACAATTATCTCAAAAACGAAAAGGCAAGAAAACAAAAACAACAAAAAACAGAACAACAAAAGGAGGGGTCCTAGTTGGTTTTACCCGCAACAGCACCCCCATCCACCTACTATAACCTCCCACCAGGGCCACATTGTCAGCCATCCGGTTTCTGTTTTCCGCTCCACCTTATAAGACCACCTACCTTCTCTACCTCATGATCATTCTCCCCAATGCAACCCCTGCTCCCCAGTCATGCGTCCCTGTTGAATGATAAAAACTTTCTTTTTTTTTATAGCTTAAATAGGCTCCGAACTTGATTCATCCTCTGAACTCTCAGATGTGTGTATGGGCCTTTTTTTTTTTTTTTTAACTTCGTATGTGGGAAACCTACTTAACGAGTGATAAGAGCATCCTCGATAAGTAGGCACCCGGCGTCGAAGGCTCCATCTATTGGTGGGGAGCTGCACCTGCTGGAAATCGGGTCCATCGTCCCTCTACAATGATGTGATGTGTGTGAGCTGGAAATCGGGTCCAGCGTCCCTGGTACAATGATGTGATGTGTGCGAGCTGGAAATCGGGTCCAGCGTCCCTATGCAGTGGTGTGTAGCTATGTTCCACAATCAGGAACTGTCGGTATATCTACATCAATCCATACATGCCATCGTCCAATCTATCTGTAATCTTTCATCGATAAAACATGTCCCCTGAAGGGAAAACCCTATCCCCTAACCTAGCATATCACCATAGCAAGCGAGGCGTCAAGCCTAATTCTATCAATCAAGCCAGAAATTGAACCCTAACACAGATATGAAGGGAAACCCCATAATAGATGTACTGTATGTGAGCTGGAAACCGAGTCCAGCATCACTATGCTATGATGTTATGATGTGTGCAGCCAGTCTGTATATGATCTTGGCTCACCTGCATCTCCGAAGAGAGCAGAGGCATTGATTACTTCCCCACGCAGGGAAAGGATCGACCTTTTGCTCATTAATCAGATATCCCTATTCAATGATGTGAATAAATGTCATATCGCTCATATACTCACTAGCAAAGAAAAAACATAATCACCAACAGTCCTTTCATGATTAAGAGTTGAGGGTTTGAGAGATGAGCGACGATCAACCCTAATCAACACAGGGAGAGTACTCACTGACTCTACTTGCTTTGAGTTCTCTTTTTTTTTTTCTGTCTTAAGCCACCAGTACTTGGCCCAACTATCGGCCGCGGAAAAAAATAGAGTAGAAACGTTTCTAGTCGGATGAATATGGGTGCTCCTGTTGTAGCCCATACGTTTCCTCAAATCGTGGCGCGTTAACGGGCACGATTCTAGGAAGTACTGGTGGTACTAGTACTTGGAAAAATTAGAGTAGAAACAGTTCTAGTCGGATGAATTTGGGCGCTCATGTAGTTGCCCGTATGTTTCCTAAAATTGTGGCGCGTTGACGGGAACGATTCTAGGAAGTACTGGTGGTTTAAACCACCACTACCCCCGCCGGCCTAAAATGGACTTTCCTAGCCTTACGGACCGGGTTCGTAGGGGGGGCGGCGACCGGTAGGCGTAGGCGGGTCCGGTCCAAGAATTTTCAAGCACGAACTTTGGCATTTTTTCGCGCTCATAAAAATTGGCAAAACAAATCTGAAAATTTGATATCCTGTAGATTAGGCCGTGATCTTTCCAGGAAAGATATCAAAAAAATGAAAACGAAAAATTTATACCGTGAAGTAAATGTCACGCTGTTTCGTCACATTTTCCAGTTTTGCTACTCTACAATGTATGGGCCAACGGGAAAAGTAACCCAACTCTCACGATTTTTTGCGATCAGAAGGATGACCTAACAACTCTATAAATTGGAGGGTCCGTAGATTTTGTCGTGATCTTTACAGGAAAAATATATATTTTTTTTAAATCATTTGAACCGCGAAATAAATTGCGGGGGAATTTCAACGCATTTTCGAATTTTGCCACTCCGCCAATTATCCCCCACTGTGCTAGCGGTAGCCCTCATGGACCTGTGTTACCGGTTCCCCCTAATTTATAACGGCGGGGGTGTGGTGGTTTAAACCAGCACTACCATTCTCATATGTGGGGCCCCAGGCCTCAAATTCAAATTCGGCCACCACAATGAAAAATATCGACAGCGGCGTGGCGGCTATTTTTCAGGAGTAGGCTATGAGTCGCCCGCGCCGACATATGGGAAAGGTAGCGGTGGTGCAAGGAAAATGAGCAATAGCGAGATGACAATATTCAGATTGCACAATCACATTGAAAGCCAGATCGTATCACAATGTTTAGAAACCAGCATTGCACCAATATGACACCAATGGAGAATCGTAGTACTGAAAACCAATGTTAATGAGAGCTTGCTCTCGCCACCACCAACATATGTATCCAGTTCCTATCTCCCTACTTGGCGCTCGACGCCCAGCCTACTCCCTACACAGCTACTACTAGCCTACTAATTGACAATGCAACTGTTGACGTCAGCAGCCTCCGAAGTACTTGAAGATGTCGCCCATGCAGACCATCGCCAATACCAGGTATGTGCCCTCACATCATCATCATCATCCTTCTCCCTCTCTCTCCCTCGTCTTACTCCCACGTCCTCCTTCTTGAAACCCGAAGACCACCCCTGCGCCTCACCGTACATCCAAGCCCGCCAGCTATGGAGGCTGGGCTATGGCACTGCAGCAGCGCCCTCCTCCTTGCACGACCGCACGTGCTTGCACTTCGCCTCTCAGCACTAGCAGCAGCCCACGAGCTTCAGCTCCAGCAGCGCTGCCGCCAGCATGCGAGTGCCCGAATGCCTGGCCAGGCAGCGAGCTCTTTCCTATATGGAAAGAGCCTGGACCCCAAATAAGAAATTGACAGACGAGGCCTCTCGTGATTTGTTAGGCCCGCCTTCACTTAGGCCGGGCACATTTGCAGCAGGGGGCCCTTAGGCCTGCTGAGGACCCAGATCCTCGCAGTGGTTCCAAAAAAAAAAATAAAAAAAAATAAGGGAATCATCCAAGAGAGGTCTGTTAGCTGTTAGTGGGGGTGATAAGTTCTCTTACCCATTTGTCAGGGTTTCACTGGAACGAGCAACCAGTTTCCCCCCCGCGGACTTCCAGGCAGCCTCCGTTGTATATTTCCACCTTTTCGCTAAGGATGCGCTCGGTCTCTCATTTAAACCACCAGATACTTTTGCGAAATGAAAATATACGACCGATCGCAGATTACCGACGGGCCTTCAGTAGGCGCCTGTGAACCAGCAGGCAAGTCGGCCCGCAAGAGTGAGCAGGTTAAGTAGCGGTGGTGGGGCTACGTGTTGTTCAACGGAGTGTGCGTGATTGGCTGTCCGTGGTGTGGTGTGCGTTGGGTGTGTGGTGTTGAGTTCAAGGACGCTGCAGCCCTGGAGGTGGGCTGGATATCACGACCGGTATGGATCCAGTTGTTATAACACCTCCAAGGGTTGTAGTGGTTACGATACTTCGTTCCTGTGGCGGAGGGTGCCGGTTTGAGGCCGTCCATGCACGGCGGGGCATGATGCCCTAAACACACGTTGTTCAGTAACTACTACTGTCTTCCCCTGAAAAGAACATATGGTCATTATAGCTGTATTTGCGGCAAGTTTCGGTCTAGACTCTACATATCTATTCGGGAAAATACACAGGAGCTCAGTCCATACACCTATGGACTATTGAAATACAGACCTGAGTTCGGATCCAGACGGCCCTAGACGACTTCTCAAGGCCAGTCAGTTATAAATTATCGGCGATTGTGTTAATTCGATGATGGAATCTGAACACCGTCATCTTTTCAAAAAGGAAAACAGAGGAAGCAAAGAGGCCCTCGATGACGTTTCAAAAAGGAAAGAGGATAACCAGTAGTAGAAGGGAGCCAATGCGTTTTTTGTTTTTTTTTCCCCAAAACACTCTTCGTTCTTCTTTTTTTTTTAATTTAATGAAGAGGTAGCTACATTCATATAGCTGGGAACCGGGCTCGGCGTCCCGGCCAATCGGGCTAAGCAAGACACTTTCAGCCAATTTAAAGAGTTTTTTTTTTTTCTTCCCAAAACAGTCTTCATTCTTTCATTTTATAGGCGTAACGGTAGCAGGAGGGAGCAAAAGAATGTGAACATTTGCTGCCAGAATTTGATTTCCCCATGCAAAAAACTGTTTTCCATTTTCCTAACATTTTTCCCAGAAAGATCGGCACTCAAACTAGGCCCATGATTCTTTGCAGATTTTTGCCGGAACTACCGAGTGAAAAAAATAGTCAAGGTCAGCGCACTCGAAGTTTGTGCACACTGCCACCAACTCCCGCCAGCCTACTA